AAATAGTTTAGGGTAAATTTGTCACGGGTTTATCAGTTTGGAGTAAAATTGTCACAGATGTACTAGTTTATGATTTTTGGTGGTAAAAAAAAAAGTTTGGGATAAAATTATCACAAGTGTACCAGTTTGAGGTTTTTGATGGTAAAAAAAAAAGTTCGGGGTAAAATTATCACACACGTACCAATTTAGGGTTTTTGGTGGTATTAACCCTTGAAATTATGATATGGCAAAACCGCAAGCAAGCAAAAAATATGATGTCAAATGCTAAATAACGGAAAAAGGTTTTATCCCTTTAAGTCCTATTTATTGTAACCATGTGGCGGTCAAAGTAAATAAGGACTCTAGGAAGTACATTGATCCATGCCCAAATCATTCATATGGTCCTATATAAGAGTGACCCACGACCATGTTAAGGTTCAATCCCTCCAAGCCCCACTCTCTTCCTTTTTTTCATAAGTTGAGATGGGAAATGCACAAAAAAGTATAATTTTAGGGCACCTGCCCCATCATGGTTCCAAGTTGGAGTATTAGGTGAAACCGCCACAAGAAGATACTTCACCAAAAATAATAAAATAAGAGAAAATAAGAAAAGAATTGGGAAGAATTTCTTATTACTATACACCTCCTAGATAAGACCTTCTCCTTTGAAAACAACAAAAAAAATAAGGGTTTTTGGAGGTTTGAGGTTGTCTTGGGTTTATGAGGTGACCACCCACCCCAATTGACGGAAATTGATTAATAAAGCAATTATCAAATGATGATGAAAATTACTAAACAAATGCCATCTTAGGTTAAACCACTTATACCAAATTATATTCCCCTATCCCCCCCCTCCCACCCAAAGGACCCCATTGGTTGGTCTACCAAAAGCCCTTTCTTATAAACCTAGTCAATCTCTCTATATCTCTCCCCCCAAATTATTTATATATATTTAGAGACTTGCCTCAAACATATCCACAGATATTAAATGCCACCACACAAACCCTTTTCAGATAATTTTCCCTTGTTTTGGACCCACATGAAGAATTGAGTTATTTATTTTATTTTTATTTTCCCCACATTGAAAAATACATTGGTTGGCCTTGTTTATAATGCCTATGTGCTCTTGAGGCACATTGATGAAATCTCAGAGAGATAATTCCTTTTTAACTGGTTTCGTGAACATATAACAAAATCAAGGCTGACATAAAAAGGCAACAATAATCTAGTGCATCTAAGTAAAAGTTCTCGACTCTCTCAAGCATCAAATTAGTCAATTTGGAGGTGTTCTCTACATCTATGTCATCATTACCCATTGCAATCCGTCAAATAGGAGCTTATGTGGTTCAATAATTCAAAGGGACACGGAAAAGATGGAGCTCTCGCTCTTGGGCTCCATTTTGCTCTTCGATCTCTTGGCTCTTGGCAAGTGAGATCAACGGCCTTGATTGCCATCTATGATGGGAGGCACTCCCCCACTGAATCATACATATTCTCAACATAGGGAGAGATTTGCAAGGCTAGTCTGTATCGATCCCAACGAGATTACATGTCCCAACAGAGTAAATTTTGCGCTTAATATATAAATGGACAGATGATGACCGATGAGGACATAAAGTTGTTCGATAAAGAGTGTGATTTGATGGCTTTGTCTGTGTCCTTTCAACACCCATACCCTCTCTCTCTCTCTCTTGGGATTATTGGGGTTGAATTTTAAATTATTTTGCAATTTCAAACTTTCTTTGTTGGGCTAAATTAACAGGGCATTATTGCTCTAATTTGGATTTTCGTATTTGTTCCTCATCATAAGGGCTTAGGGTCATTTTATTCTATTCGAGCTGTTGCATAAAGTAAGCACCATGGAGTTTTAATATTTTAGGGTTGAAGAAGTGGAGACTGATGAAGCCGCGGGGCCCCACTCCAATGGTGCAAAAAGATTCATCAAAATATCAAGCCCCATAGTTTATATCCCCCGCATTACATCTTTTTATTCGCCTAACTAAACAAATCAATTTCGACTAAAGATAATCCGTCCCACGTGCCGGTGGCGCCACATTCGATGTGATGATCTAATCAACACGTATCATCATCTCATTTCCTATCTGATCTAGGTGATTAGCATAGGAAATTAAGTGGCGGTGCGTTGTGTCCATCGGGACGTAGCTACACCAACTAAAATGAGGGAGGTAATTTTGAGTGAAGCAGGTGTCACATTAAGCCTTTTCTCGGGTCACATCCGGGAGCTTTTGAGGAGTTGTATTTGCGAATGTCATCGAAGTGGGCCAAGTTAATAATGAAACCTTGAAACAACTGAAAAATAAAAAATAAAAATAAAATTGGAAATTATAAAAGAAAAAGAAAAGAAAATTGAACTTGTGGTTGGAAGTGAGGTGCTCGTTTTTTTCTGGCCCGTATCTTCTTCCAAATGAAGATGATCATGCCCCTTCTTTTCTAGCTTGGATATTTTGAGGTCCGTGACAATGCCAATTTTATGCAATCTCATAGCGTTGTACACGAACAAGGACCGAGGGACCAAAGTTGTTTGTTTAGACATGGTGATGCCATCAATGTCTTCAAAGAAAGTCACATCTCTAAATGATTTGAACCGTCCGATTTCGCTCATCTAAGGAGATGGCAATGATGTGGTTAATACCCAGTATTAGCCTCTATGCATTAATTAAGTATATCCATCTTTCTAAGTAGAAAGTGGGGTTAACTTACATTGAGAGAAGGGAATTGATGAGAAAACTACTTTCCTCGTAAATGAGTTTACGACTTTATGCTCTTTGTAGAGTAAGGTATTGTTCGTTTCCCCAATTTGTTGAGATTCATATCGGCTGTCTTCGCTTTAAGCATGATTCAGCAAATGCTCTGGCGTATAATATACCGTCATAAATTCATGGCCAGTCGATAACCCATTCTATAGCATTTGAGAATCGACAAAATTGATGATTAATCATATAGCGTAGTTAATCCCACAATCCGCCAACTTAATGAAGTGAAATTTACAACCTGAAAGCTTCGATTGCTGCTGTTGTTTTGCCCAGGTTCATGTTTTGCTTTAATTATTGTCCTAGAATGGATGGATAAGAAAAAGGCCAACCTCGGCAAAAAATAAAAGGTGGGTCTACCTTAGTAATTTGTGAACCTAAATAGCAAAGATTAAGGCAGGTGTTTAGTCCCTGCCCAAATGCTCATATTGTGCAAGCATCCTTTAGACTCTAGGGCTTCCTAGTTAATCTTTGATGCCAAGTCAGAGAGTGACCGGTTCCAAGACTCGATGATATAGATTCCCAAGTTTAGTATGCCTTCAAATTTTATGTAGGATGGGTATAGCTTTAATGAAATTGAGTGGTTCCATATAGCTAATTAATATAATAGATGATATTTTTAGAAAATAATTTTAAAAAAAACTATAGGATAATGGCTTTCCAAAGTGCACAAAGGGAAAAATTTGGGGCCTGCTTCTTATTCCCTTTTCATTTCATTTCTTTTTGGGGCCTCCCACGACCTCAAGCTGCTCATCACCTTCTTTTCTCTCTCTGTTGTTTACCTTTCCGATGCTTGGATGTCTGTAAGTGGGGATGGGTGACCATCTCAGCAGACACATGGGGCTGGAGGGTGGTTCACCAGGAATTTCACAACCAATTATTGGGTGTCCTCGAATTACCTTTCGTAAGAAATTTTCACTTTTTTAGTGATGGCCACACGATGCTTATAGGTTCAATCAATAGGGTAACAGAAAGAAAGAAACAAAAGAAGGATGATGTCCATGTAACTGATTAGATAGCAAAAGACCGAGCGAGAGGTTGGTCAAGTGATAAATGCAGTCGTTCTCGGCGCTTAAGGCTTTGGTTCAATTCGTCATACTTGCACACTCTCTGAGAGTTGCCCCTAAGAACATGTACTTGTGTGTCTCGATGAGTGAATTTAAGGTAACTTGTTAATGGGATCAAAACCCGGCAAATTTGTCTACAAAATCTACTAAAGTTTGGTGACCATCCATTCGCCTTCCCACACCGACAAGATTTGATTAATAGTTGAAGAATGCATCTATCGAATATTGTTTGGCTATATTGCCGCGGGTCGGAGTCCTTATGCTACATCATGTTTGAGACTATTCAGCGGAGCTGTGATTAGGGTGAAATTTCATTTGCTCCATATTTATTCACTTGAACTTAAGGTTGGCTTCTTCGTTACAAAAGAAAAGTAGAAAAAGAACGAATCCTTCTTCTTCGTTGTTGTCCTAGTTTTGAGCGAGTGCTTCTTTTTGGATCATATGAAGGCGTTTGGGCCAGTATCATAATGTAATGGTGTAGTGCCTGGAAAATGTCTTCAGGCCGAACTCTCATTTTCTATTTGTCTGAAGAACTCTCTGCCTTGCGGTCAGTCATTATGAGCCGGTGATTATTGACCTAGAGAAAGAAATATGCACAAGCATTACATATTAATCACGCTACTGATGATGCTCTAGTGAAGATGAATTCCTTGTAAATGTGTCAGTGTTAAGAACAAACATCGAAATCTAAACTTGGGTATGAGGCGAGATAGTTTCAGGAACCTTTTTGAGGACGGTGGTTTCACGCGCGACGACGCTACAAAGAACAAAATTATGAGCAGCTGTTAGACAATGAAGCTTCTTCAGCCAACATCTTTGCCGTTTTGCAGAGCAGTCGTAGAGCTACAGCCGTCGTAATGTACTTCCGGCATGACACATCTCGGACTTACCCAACCACGTCTCCAACGTACGAAGAAGCATCAGAATAGTTCTACATAGGAAGATTGTTTTCCTGGGACAGCGATGTAGTTGTTGATGCAAAATGAGTTCATAACTACATTGTATTTGGGAATTCAGAGGCTGAAACTCATACAGCTGTTATGTGGGGTTTTTCCTAAGACTGGTTTTTCTCTTCCGTCTGGGCTTCCAGGTTTCCAGGTTTCGCCTACGCTACGCTACGGTTTCACTAGTCCTTCTAGTTCTAAGGCTGGCTACAACTAACAGTGCAGCATCATCTCTAGTATACAAAAAACGTGCTGATTCCTGCTCTTTCTTCGCATTATGCAGATTGGTTCACCAGGATTCCATGGCAGGAATTGTTGATGCACAATGAAACAAGCCATTTCAAAATTCATAAATCAGAAAGTCTATAGAAAAGAATGGCAACTTACTGCACAACGTTATTCTACTAATTTTCTAAATCACAGCTTTATCGGTGTTAACTGTAAAAATCTGTAAGTGAGACTCTCGGTATCTGTAAGCTCTGGCGTTCCAAGTTAACGTTCGACCCACAAGGTCTCTATCAAAGTATCCAGCAGCTGCAGCGTTTCGAATCTTGAGGACCCTCGAACCATCGGTCCCACAATGGATTTAGCGGACCGGTCGTTCTGTCACACAAAAATCAACGACTCAGTAAAAGGAATAGACGAAATCTAGTGAAACAAAACAGAAATAAGGGTTCGGAATACAGAATTACACTGGTAACAATGGATCAGGTTTTGCTTCAACATGAGTGAGCAATCTGGCATTCAGGAAAAGAATATCAAAAGGAAGAAACAGAAATTTTTTTCACAGGTACAACTAGTGTGGAACATTTTAAGTACTCTGCAGACTTACTCTATGCAAGCAACTGAGGCCTTCTCCATCTTTTCAAGTTGTTCCAGCTCTTCCTGCCCAAAGAAAGTAGTAAAATCTGTAAAACTAGTGGCTAGAATGGGAGCTATGTTGCAATGACAAGGATGTGAAGCTACAATTTCAGCATATTCGCTTAACAAAAATGACATTGGCAGATCCAGGCATCGGTGATTCTTTGAAAATGAAGATTATGACTAATGTTGATGCCTCGAAGATCTCTCTGGTCTACTGTAAAATATGCCTTTCCTGTTTGTAATTGAACTTTAGAGAGACCATAGTTAACATCACTCTTCATCCACCTACAAATTATGTAGCACCCTTTCCTTTAGATATTGTAGTGTATCTGTCTGTTTTGGCTTGAAAAATACTAAAGCAACTTTTCTCCTTTCCTAGTCACAATTCAAACTATAATCCAAATTCAAAAAGAATATGAAAAAAATTATATGCAAATCTACACGCCAAAGTGCTTGCGCTACAAGATTTCAAAATGCAAAGTGTGTGCGCCACAAGATTTGAAACCAAAATACAAAATATTAAAAGCCACTCCAAACAGACTGATAAGTGTAGCCGTCAAAGGGTAGACTAGCATGAGCATAAAGCTTTTCTGAAAAATGAACGGTATGTATATGTATGTATAGTATTTCTTGACTTGTAAAGGGAGACACTAAAAGTAAAAGGAGGGAGGAAATACAAATGCAAAACAGAAGTACAAACAAGACATTCGATCTTGAAACACTAGCGCAAGTGATCTCATGCACACCGTTCTAGTCTAATGATGTGTCAATAAAATTGACTCCAACAAAATCTCTTCATCCAGTGGATATACAATCGCAAGAAACAGAAATGAATCTAGAACTGATTTGCATTTAAAACATGCATCATCATAAATGTTTCCACTACCAAAATTCCTTAAAGCAGTTCCCTCCATGCATTTGATCTCCATATTCTTGTAGTTAGTTCCAACGCAATATAGACTGCTTAAACAACCGTTCTCACTTGAGTATGCGTATTACGGAATTCAATAAGACTCATCCTCTCTTGCTAGTTTGGCAAGTCTTTGCTAGCGAATTAACTGAAGCTACCGCCAGTCTCCATTTTTAACAAACTAACGAAACATTGCCAACTATGCTAGCATGTTAATTAATAGTCAAAACAGAGTACAAGATTAAAATTCCCAGCCTGGCTAATAAGCACACAGACCATTTTCTAGACCAGGTCATTTGGCTGTTTCCTAGAGAGAGTCCCTCAATGAGCAGGCACCTGAATTCACAAAATTATGTGGCCTTCCCTAGCGAGAGTCGCCTTGCACCCTTGGATGGTCCCTACCTACCTTTGTACATTGGTTTTGGATGCAACTTCATTCCTTACTGACCTCTAACCATCTGCAAGAACTCTTCTTCCTTTACTTCCTCATTCTTTTGGTTACCCACAGCTCACTCAAAGTAATTTTATTTTGTTAAATCATATACTGATTGGTTCAGACAAAGTACATCACTTCTTGATGAAAATGAAAATACATGCAAAACATATGCCAGTTGCAAAAGTTGAAAGTATCTAACAGCTTTGCCATCATATAATACTTGTATCGAATTATATTTTAGTCCTATCGTAGATGTACAGGGTCCCCATCTTTCGCACTTCCCCTTGCCACTGCTACTTTCTTAACTGACATGCCCAACCATTTCCGGGATTTCCAGAACTTTCCTTTTGAAGCCTCTTCTACCAAACGTAGCTCGCTCTTCATCTTTTAATGAAATTTCAGACCATGTCCTTTCCATTCTCATCAATTCTCACATAACTCAATCAGAGATGAAGGTGATCTTGTAATACAAGTTGATGATAGAAATAACAATTAAACAGCATGAGAGGTGCCAAGCTATATCTTGACCCCTCATATGGCAGATTTTGAGACCCTGAGCAAGGAAATTTGTAAGGTATCTTGAATTGAAGTAGATATTTACAGATTCTGTTGGTAATATCTTGGATTGAAGTAGACATCTACAGATTCGACTGGTAAATCATCTTCCATTGAAGTCTAAATCTATGGATTCTATCAACATTTCTTGGATCGAAGTAAATATCTACAGATCTATCACATGCATGTTCTCGTTCGTTGTCCAAAACCAAAAAATTCATTCTTTGTCCAAACAACAGTGAACCAACAGACAAATAGACTAATCCATGTAAAATGTTCTCATTTGGTGCTAAAACAGACAGGGACCACTGTGGAACGAGAGTTGCAAGATTTGGGACGCAAATAATTCTGTGAATTATTTGGCCTGAAATGGAAGCTAGTTGAAGAAGCACCAGAAATCCCAAGTCATCATGGGAGATATTGCCACATCAACTAGAAGATCTTGAAGGGCTTGACACTAAAAACTCAGCTGGAGCCATTCTAACTATACTTGCTAGAGTAAGATTAAAGTCAAACCAATGATGGAGGAAATGTCCCACTCAAGACATAACAGAAGTTAACAGGCACGAGAAAGAAAATTCTAAGCAAACAAATCGATGCGCGTCTCTGATTAAAATAAATGCACATTGATGCGAATGTCAAGAATGCAAGAAACACCAAAGGATGCATGAGACACTCTCGTCATCCCTTTAGCAAACACAATATGCAAAGCTATAGGGACCGAAGAATAAACAATCTCCAATGTTGCCATGGCATAAGTCGAGCCTCTATTTCACAAAGGTCGAAAATCTTTACAAAGAAATTCCTTAACTATCATTCTTAAATCATTTAGACAAGAATAAGAAGAGAATAGTCTTCACAACCTAAGACCCTTATCCCGGCAACTCAAGTATGGACCTAAGGAGGACTACAAAATAGAGAAAGAAACATCTTCACAATCTAAGAACCCTAGTGCAGCAACTCAAGAATAACTCTTAGCAGAATCTCAAGTACTTCAGCCTATCAAGATAAACATGCAGTTTCGACGATTGATTAGGAGGGAACTGAAATGATTCAGATTATGGAGAGATTGAGTTAAAACATTATTTGGACGCTAGAGAAGGAAATGACCTAAATATCTTGTTATGGTTCTAAAACTTGAGATAAGACAACGTATTACGGAAAAGAAGAAAGTTTCCTTTGTAGATTAAACAATCCTAGCTTCCTTTGTAAATTAAACGATCCTCCCCTTTGTAAACTAAAAGATCCTCTGAATCCCTCCATATTTGGACAGACTATGAGGATTTTAGAAAACTACAATAAAACTAGCTGCCCTAATTCCTCCTAATTCTTTCGTTTCTTCTCCCCCAATCTTTATCCTTCCATCCAACCACATGATTGTTGATCACGTTTAAAATCCTTTTTCTTCCCCTCTAATCACTCCTACAAAACACAGTGGAGGAGCAAATTTGGTTGAGAGAAAGGAAAAAAAGAAAGGTTAATTATGCTGAATTCCAGGTGGAAAAGACTTGGATGTAAAAACCAGATGAAGATAGTAGGCATTCTACAAAAGTGAAAAAATCAACATTCTACATGCCTGTCCTAAATCTAGGACAAGTTATTTTCCTCGAATACTATATACATGAGAAAAGTAGTCTAGAGGAAGAAAAAGAGCAATATATTCTTCCACAGATACTCAAATTCATGGATAAATGCAATTGAAAAACGTGAAGGGTGGTGGGCGTGTGCACAAGCACAAATTACTAGCGTTAAGATGTTTACTGTAAGAGTGAGAAGATCATACTGAAGTAAACATGCCCTCATTGACATGGGAGTAGAAGCTACATAACACAATAGTACTCTTTTTTAAGTTTTAACACTTTTGCATCATTATTTTCTTTTAGTGGGTTAGTCATTTGGCCTTTGCAATTTTGTTGCTCTATCACCGCCACATTCAAGAGGCCATATGAGACCTAACTTTTCCAAAAGTCCACTCAGAGCCCATGCTGGCATATCCTGGATTTTCTGCATAAAATTCTAGTTTTAGCTGTGGGGTTCTTCACTTTAGTGTCTAAAGTTCAATACTAGCAAAAAGCTAACATGTAAAAGCTAGAAGACAAAAAAATTTTAGGAAGGAATGCTGCTTCCTCACTTCTGTCTTTAGCTTCCCCTTTTCAATCTACCTGCCAGCTGCTTCTCATTGTCTTTTGATGCCAATCAACATGTGGAATTGGTTAAGAAGTCCAAAGTCCCCCAAAAGAGGAGTTTTTAGGCCAAAAACGTGTCATTTGCTTCAAGAAAGAAAAAAAGACTACAACTAGGGAGGATGCTTAAGCTACCCATCTCTGCAGATTATCAAAGTCCCACAGTTCACTCACACAAATCAATCCGAATGCTCAAAGGATGAAAAGAAATCAGAGCAAGAATATGCTCAACGATCATTTCTTTTTTAACTAGTCACGTGAGAAAGTCAAACAGCTCAAGGTGCTCAAGGTTCTCGTTCCACACTCGATTAGCGAAAACCCAAGATTTGAAACATCGTGAACAAGAAATTGAAACTGACCTCCAAGAATCTGGATTCCTGCTCGAGCCGCTTGAGCTCGGCTTGTATCCGATGCTTTCCTCTCGTGTCCGTCGCCACGACCACTGCCACAGCTCCTTCGGAGTTCGCGGCTCGCATCTCGAGATCAAGAACGAAACCGACAGCAACCCCAGGCAGAGCCTTCTCCGAAACCCAAAGAAACAGAAAATCTTGAAAACCCACAGGAGAATCTGGAAACAGGGTCGTCTCCGAAACAGAGGAGGAGGGGAGGCCAATTCACGACGATGACGAAGACCCCGATACAGAGACCGGAACGGAGGATGAAGGGGGCCACTGTCGACGCACCCGGTGGGCCCCACCGGAAAACTGGAACCCGGTCTCGACCGCTAGAAAACAAGCAAGAAACGAACAAGAAGAAGAACAAGAAGAATAAGGAGAGAAAAGAAAAGAAAAGGGAACTGGGTCGTTCCCAACAAAAGCTTCCAAAGAGAAGATGGATCTGCAGTTCTGCACAATCCAAGAGAGAGAGAGAGGGGAAAGCTTTCTTCTTTCCGGGTGGAGAGCGGTCGGGGAGCGATAAGGAGACTGTCGTGTTCTGGGTGGGACGAAAAGCAAATGGAAAAAAGGTGGGCTTCTTTTTGTCTTCTCTCTCTCTCGCTTTCCACTGTACCTTTATTCGCCCGCTCCAGAAACAGAGCAAGGCCCGAGAATCTCTTCCCCTGTTCAGCGGCACGCGCAGCCGAAGCAGACAGGCTCCGATGTGACGGCGACCCGGGTTGGTCCGAGCACCACCGCCCCCCGTCCATGGAGTCCCGGGTTCAACCCGCCCCGAACGCGATAAACGGGTCGTCCTGCGCTTCACGGCAACTCCACCGACGACAGCAAAGCCGCGAACTTTATCTCGTGTTCCGACCGAGCTCCGACAAGGCGCGCGTGGGACGCGGGTGGCGGCGAGTCGCTGTCGCCCGTCGAGAATTCGCTCGAGCCCACAAAAAATACAGAATCAGCGCGAAAATTATTAGGCCAATAAAGGTAAAATTGAAGCTGGAAATTCAATCTCTCTTTTTTTTAAAACGAGGAGCAAAGCCAATTTGTGGGTAAATCCGAAATTCATAAAATTTATATTTGCTGACCTCGTTAATCAACGACGCCGGTCGAAACTTGTATCATCGTCAATGACCGGCCACCGATTGTGTCATGATGTCATGACAAATCCGTTCTTGTGCAATGAGCGAGTCTTTGCAGGTTGTACTAAGTTGATTCATTTTTCGAATTTGCACTAGATCGTAACTCTTTGGGATTGGTTTTGTCTTGAAATTACGTATCTCTCTTTCACGCGAAACGAAAAATTTTCTTCCGACAAAAGAAAAAAAAGACGCCAACTGAGGTTTCATATTGGGTTAGTGAGATGCGATTTTGTTCGAATGTCATGCTCACGCTTACTAATCACACCCGCATTACCATTTCGTAACCGCTAGATCAACCTAGTGCTTATAAATGTACCATACTTGTTCAATACACTATTGGGGCCATGACTTTCACCTGTTTGTAGTACCTTATATACTAGCGGTCCGGTCATATTTCATATGGGTTCTTGTCAAGGTCGAATGTGTTATACACGAAATATACGATAATAAATTGAGATAATTTGAGTAAACGTGTAGGCATAAACTTAGAAGAAAGGTATGTTGGATTCACTTTCATCGAAACTATGTTCGATTTCGGCTAATGATAGCACCAAGTGGAAAGAAAAAAAGAGTACATAGAAAAGACTGATCTAATTACATCAGCTACTTTTGTTCAGTTTATTTCAATATAAAGTTTGGAATGTTAGGCAAGTTTGACTGACTTTCCAATCAGAAATTGAGGATTTGGTTGGTTGGTATCACGGCTAATTGGACCCATCTTAACCTAACGGGATTAGCCTAATTGAATAATATAATCTACGTGGATGTGGACTAATTATGAAATCACATATCACAAAAAAATTAAAAAGAAATGGAATAAAATAAGTGCTTTGGAACAAGATAACTTGTGCTTAAGATTTATCGAAATTGACAATTTTTGTGTCGTGTAATTAACATCATGCGCATTGTCGATAATTTATCTCATTTCATATCATTGTTAAAACATTTCAATAAAAATAACATATAAGATCTACATTTACATGAACCATGATTTACGTAATTTCGAAACTAATGTTCATGGAAATTTTTCATCTCGCCCTTCATGTGAATTCTTCACGTGCCATTGCTACATGCACTTGAAGTCGTCTCATGCAATTAGACTTATGTAAATCTGGAGTAATTGATTTGATTAAACAATATTCATTTCGCCTGATGCTCACAACTTATCTCGGCTTGGGATTGTAATAAGATGGATTTGGAAAAACTAACCTCGTTCTAAAATTGATAACTGGTTAATAATCTCATATAAAACTCGAAGATCATCCTCAACCTGAGTCCTGTTTTTCAAATAGGAATCTCAAACACATCGTACTAAAGTATATATGTGGAAGCTCGAGACTCAGCTAATGTATTTTTGTTGTATATATTTTGAATTAATAGATAAATCAACTCAAAACTACATTATAAATTACCTAAATAATTCAGGTTCTATGATCAAATTTACACTTTTATCATGTTTCGGTCGAGTTCGCCAAACATTGAGTGACATTAATATCATTTCACCTAATATGAGAACTATCTGATCTGCTACCAAATCGAATCTCAGCACAAGTAACTCCTTAGAAATCCATAATCTTGTTATGCTAGTTTACTGTGTTTCCAGTTTCATTGGTTGACTGAAAAACCTAGTTCACCGACCAACGAGTGATTCTTCTTCTCTTTCGACAATGCTTGCAAAGATCGTGCATGCAAAGGAGGATCAATGGTCTCTGTCCTCCTAGGAACATTGTCGACATTAACAAAGGTTTACCGCCGGCGGCCGCTTCGGACTTCAGACAGACCTTGCCTTCCCTTCCGTGGAGACTGAATCAGACAACAACACTCGTGATATCTCTTTTATCCACCATTGTTGTCCTCCTAGACATCATCCATTTCAGCTCTGCTTTATTCAGACGCTCCTCTTCCTCTGTTCGAAGACAAAGGAACAGATAGTGGGTCGTATTCTAGCTCAAAGGTGCTTTGGACAGTCGACCAGAGACTCTTTGGGTGGAGGAAGGACCTGACTATCTTTCTTCTGCTTTACAGTCTCTGTGTACTCCACCTCTCGAGTTGATTGAAATGAAAAGTTCACTGTCCCACTTAAAAAAAGGGTTGCATTTGATTGATGGCGATTATGACATTAAAAGGGAAAGTACCCTCGATCGAAAACGTTGCATGGACGAAAAAAAATACATTCAAACTCGGCACATTTTAATGACAATAAGCCCAGAGAAGCCATTATTAATTATCACCAATTTGTTCTTATTATATTGGTTTTGGGAGGGAGCTGAAATATTCAACAATTTCATGTACCCCAACCTATCGAGGGCTTGAATTTTGACTAGATTTTTGCAATTAATTTCTCTAGACCGAGCGATGGCCTTTCAAAAGAACTGCACCCAGTGACATTTGGTATTTCCTAGAATTCCAATCTATTATAAAGCCCTTATCTTTCGATTAAGCTTTCACAATTTGTCGCATATATTTCTTTAGATGGGATGATTGTGAAAGGTTCAACCTTTCAATAGAACTGCACCTCAGGAAACATAACATTTCCAAGAAATACAATCTATTATAACCTTGAATTTTAACTAAGTTTTCACAATTCATCGCATCTGATTTCTCTGGATGCAATTATTCTGAAAGGTCCAACCTTTCAACGAAAGTTTATCTATATGTATATAACTCCCCCATGACTTCCAATCAATTAAAGGCTTCGGATTTCAACTAAAATTTTTGCAATTTTCAGCATATAATTTATTGAGAAGTTCCTAATTTGGAAGGTCCTACCTCTCAAAGGAAGTGTACCCATAGATATCCAACCCTTCCAAGAAGTCCATCCTATGAAGGCCTGGAATTTCAATTAAGTTGTGATTTCGAATGTCTAGTTCTCTTTAGACGCTCCAGTTTCGAGAGGTCCAACCTTTCGGTGGACTTGCACTCACAACGTTCAACTCTTTAAAGTACTCCAACCTATCAAGACCTTGAATTCCGATTAAGATTTTGCAACCTATGGCTCAAAATTTCTTCAAAAGCTCCAACTTTGGAAGGTTTAGCACTTCCATGGAAGTGCAGTGACATATTTCCAACCGCTCCAAGATCTCTAACCTTTCAAGCCCTTGAGTTTTCGTCTTCGTCGTCTTTCAGTTTCAATAGGGAGCCTCCAGGGATTCTGATACTTCCAAATCATGAACGTGCATCAGTTCAAAGCATTCTCGGAGCTGTGGCCGACATGAATAATAACTTGGCACATGGCGAAGTAGTAAGGTATACTGGTGTTGAGGGAGGCTCTCGGATGCATTCGAGGTAGGCGCAAGAAGAGAAACAAGGAAGAGGTGACCCCAAGAAATGTCAAGTTGGAAGGAAGCTCCGACGGCAACTGAAACTCATAGCAACCCCACAAATCAAGGTGTGGGAGAGATGAAAGATTGCGCGTGCGCTCTGGTAAGCTTGAAATTCTTGTACGAGGAAATCGAAGCGTCTCGAGCAAAGAGAAGTTCGCAATATCTCCTGGAATTTCCCTTGTAAGTTTATTGCACTACGAAGCATTTAGCTGTAGGAGCTTTCCCAAACTTCCAACAGCTTCGGGTAGCTCTTTCATCTTGCTATTACTATTCTCCAGCATTTCCAAGTTCTGCAAATTCCCTATGCATTCAGGCAATTCCCTAATTCTGGTGTTGGATAGTGCAGTTGGGTCTATGATTCCGAGACCCCAGTTGACTCGGGGATCTCCCTCAAACGACTGTTTTCTAATGACATGAGCAGCAACTTCACGAGGGACCAATGCTGATTGGAACTCCCGCAAACTTAGAGCAAATGTCAAATCAAGGGTCGACAAATTGGTCGGACAGGCAATCGATTCTTAAGTCGAACCAGCGATGTGCAATTGCTGGCACTTAAGTGTCTTTAGCTTCTTCAGAGAACCGATGGACAGAGGAATTTCTGGCATTCGAGTTCCATCTAGACAATGTTTCTTTAAGTGTCTTTGGATTGTAGGAGGTTTTGGATTTTCGGAAGAAGAGTAAACTCCCTTTTCTGAGTCTTCAGTGTTACTCGACTGGGACCATATCTGGATAGCGCATATGGTGTGCATTGTTGGTTCATCTTCTA